TTGTGGGAGGCCACTTAATAATAATCCAGTTTTCGGCCGGGCGCGGTGGCTCACGCCTGTAATCCCAGCACTTTGGGAGGCCGAGGCGGGTGGATCACGAGGTCAAGAGATCGAGACCATCCTGGTCAAAATGGTGAAACCCCGTCTCTACTAAAAATACAAAAAATTAGCTGGGCATGGTGGCGTGTGCCTGTAATCCCAGCTACTCAGGAGGCTGAGGCAGGAGAATTGCCTGAACCCAGGAGGCGGAGGTTGCGGTGAGCCGAGATCGTGCCATTGCACTCCAGCCTGGGTAACAAGAGCGAAACTCCGACTTGCTAAAAAAAAAAAAAAATAAAAAGAATAATCCAGTTTTCAGAAAATCTGATTTCACAGTGCAGACTTATGGAGTGTTAGCATTACAAAAATGCTATGGAGTTTCTCTTCAAGTAATAATTCCCCTGGTACGGCAAATATTTTGTTTTGGAATCACTTATTGCTTGATAAAGAAGCTAAACAGAAAGAAAGACAAATCTACAGTGTCATGGAATTCTCTGAAGACCAGCGACGTGGAAATTATAATGTTGAAAGGATAAAGCCGCAATAAAGAGAAGACTCACCAATTAGCTGTACACACAGGGTTTGCAAAGCCCTAAAATAAGTTGGTGAAGAGAGCTGGGCTTAAGATAATCAGGAGCGTAGGGAGACTGGCAAATCAAAAGCATTTATCCCATCCTAAGACATTCACATTCCGTTTTTTTCTAAAAACTGGTTGACCAAACAAAACACATCTGCCAACCACCCACTCATAGCCCCTGAGACACAAAATAAGGTAGAGTTCAATTGAGGTTAGGGGGAACAGGGAAGCTTACAGAGGAAATAGGATTTTAAACTGTAGATGAGTGGACTCAATTAGAAAGCAAAGGATTTTTCAGGCAGGAGAAACGATGGGAATTGAGAGTGTCAGGCAGGAAAGGGCAGGGAAATAAATCAATTTCAGTTAAGTCAAATGCAGCACAATTTAACTGCATCAAAGCAATCATGAATGATAATAAATCAATGCAGCAAGACTGAGGTTGTAGGGCTTTGGACATCAGGCATAGAATATGGAGCTTGATCTGTGGGAAATGGAGTACTTAAAGGTTTTTGAGCAAGGGAGTGAAACGGCTACATTCTCTGGGATGTGTACTCGGGTTCATTGTCAAGCATTGAGAAAGAATTCAGGACATGGACACGTGGGTGGGTTAAGGAGTGGAAAGTTTAATAGACAGGAGAAAGGAAAGAGGAGAGCAGCTCCTTGCCAAAGAGAAAGAGATGTCCAAAAAGGGGAGAAGCCACAGACTGCAGCAGATTTTATAGGCAGGCTGGAAAAGACAGCGTCTGCTTTACATAGGACTCACAGATTGGTTCAATCAGGTATGACGCCTACATAGTCCGAGAGGAAGGCTGGTCTAAACTTCTTATGCAAATGAATTTTCCAGTTGATTGGCACCTTCTTCTCTGCTCCTTTACAGTACACGTGGCTGGCAGAGAAGGGAAGACGGAGCCACCATCTTGAACATGTATAGTCCTTAGTTCCTGCTGGCATTCACCCGGGCAAGCTCCTAGCTTGCAAGCTGCTCTCTGTTAGAAAATGATTTGGAGTTGCTTTTAATTAAAAAGAAAAGTCTTACCGAGGACTCCCATACCCTTACTATCTGCCTAAGTAATTTCTTCTTAATTCCTCTATCAGGAGTAACATTATCAGTGCAGTATTTCAGGAAGGATGAGACGGCAGTTGTATGAAAGAGAAGAGCTTAGAAGGAGCAGAGATAGGAGGCTGCTTCCTCTCATTTGGAGATAAGGTGATGAGGACCTTGTTTAGGGGCAGTGAAAATGGAGAGGGAAAGATGGATGTGAGGTGATGAAAAGGAAGGGAGGTCACTTATAGAAGACTGAAAGTGACCACTAATGGATTGAGCCATTTGGCGTAGCCACTGCCTACAGCCAGCAGCCTGACTCCAAATCCCAGCTCTGCCACGATGTAACCGTGAGACCTTGGGCAAGTCACTTAACCTCTCTGTGCTTAGTTTACACATTTCTAAGATGAAGAAGATAACCACAGTCCTAGCTCATAGGGGTGCTGTGAGATTGTAATACATGTGCACATCTAAGGTGCTTAAGCCCAACCCTGGCATGCAGAAGGCTGTCAATAAGTAGCGAGTGTCATCAAATTGAGAATGGCATATATTCTGCTGTCTTCATTTTCCTTCTGAATAAAATGCTGAGAATAGTCATAAAGCAGTACACGGTTAAGATGCAGGTGGCGAGTTCTGTTGAGATTCAGCCTCTTGCTGGATATTTGCCTAAAAGCGTATCTTCAGTATCACCGGAGAGGTTCCCACTGGGGGAACTCCAGTCTCTTCATGCATCACTGGTCCTTCTCAAGCATTCCACAGAACCAGTCTATGTGCCACCAGAGTGGACCTAGCAAGGGTCACTGTGCAAGGGATGGAGGGGATGGCAGCCTAGAGTAAGCCTCCCAGATCTGCTTTGTCCCATCCTCATTCTGAACTGAACTGTCAGAGGCCCTTCCAGAAGAGAGGGTGTCATTTCTTTCCTGGTCTCTGTAGCTGCTAGCACTGGGAGGAGGAGGATCCTGTGGGCACCAGGAACTTCACGTCCTCTAGTCCAGAAAGGTCACTTTAATGCAGCATTCTCTGCCAGCCTATGTGACGCCTGGTCTCTCTTGGGCCATTGGAGTAGGAGTGGAATAAAAACCTCCTTTGTCTCCACTGGGAAATCCCCTACCCACCAACACCCTTAATGAGGTGCTACTGTTGCATTTAGGACAAAATGCCAGCATTCTGGGGAAAGCCCTGGGCTGAGGGCAGCGAGGTGGGAGGCTCTTCTTTAGGACACATGAGTCCTCTGTGTCATGGCAGGTATTGCTCTGACCGATCACAGCAGTCGGGGGATGAATTCCAAAGAGCAGTCCCCAGGCCTATCTCCACTGGGGGAGAAAGCAGGGGGTAGAAGGCGGGTACAGCAGGTGTGGCCCACTGCTCCAGAGTTGGTGCCTACACTCTAAGGAGGAAGCTGCGCAGGCCTTCTGAAAGCTTCAGAGGCAATGTGGCCATTGCTGTTCCTTTCCTGGCCCTTGTCAGGACCCTTTGGAGAGGGACGGTGTACAGGAAAGGGACCTCTTGCATTTCATCTCATCCTCCGAGAGGTTGAGGCTACTTGTCATCAAGCCAAAATGAAAAGAAAGAAATGTGGGCTGCCAGGCTTTCAACAGTAGAAATTCCTTTGGCCTTAAAGGCCTCAAAAATTGCCAACTAAGAGGTTTGTCTCCTTATCCAAGGAGACAGGAGAGTGTAGTAGTAATTCCACTGAATGTTTCACCACATGCCAGGTAGAATCCTAAGTGTAAAGTTCTCACAGTAGCCTAGTGAGGCTAGAATTAGTATTATCCTCATTTTCACACAAGGATCAGAGCCGGGCTATGAACCCCAGGAGTCTGACTCCAGAGTGTCCCCAACTATGAAATGGAAATGACTGGAAGGGCATGAGAAAATGGCATGACGGGTTACTACAAAGCACATAGCACATCATGCCCTGCTCACCTTCCTCCTTCTCTCCACTCCTCAAAAACTTCAGCAGCTAATGATCGCCAGGGTTGCACAAGGCCTGCAAAGGGAATTTTTTTCTGAACTCTAGTTTGATGCTAATGGGTGGTTTATAAAATTGCTATTTTTTGGCCAGGCGTGGTCGCTCATGCCTGTAATCCCAGCAGTTTGGGAGGCTGAGGTGGGTAGATCACCTGAGGTCAGGAGTTTAAGACCACCCTGACCAACATGGTGAAACCCCATCTCTACTAAAAATACAAAAATTAGCTGGGTGTGGTGGCACATGCCTGTAATTCCCACCTAGTCAGGAGGCTGAGGCAGGAGAATCGTTTTAACCTGGGAGGCAGAGGTTGCAGTGAGCCGAGATTGCACCATTGCACTCCAGCCTGAGCAATAGAACAAGACTTCATCCCCCCAAAAAAATAACTATTTTTTTTTAAACACATGGCCATTGGTACCTCCCACCATAGTAGTTGCTATTTAAGTCAATGCCAGATGCCCCTGATTTAGGGTTACATCAGAGCTCAAAATCAATGGTGTTTGGAGCTTCCTAGGGCCCCTTCAGTGGGCACAGCCCCAAGAGCCAGTCATGAGGCATCTTTGGCCTATCCTGGGATGTTGGTTATGCATGAAATGAAATTCAGAGGGAACTGGGGAGGTAGCAAGGGGGTGCAGAGATTCAAGGAGGTCAGGTTTCCCAAAACGGAGATGGGAAAGTCACAGCGGGAGAGCTTGTTTTGCAGAGGAGGTGTCCTGGCTCTACCCTTCATTCCTGCCATACCCTCCTACCCTACCCCACCCCACCCCGAGTCAGCAGAATCTCCTCAAACATGGGGAGTTTGAGTGGCATTTGTGGTGTTGTCTGGGGACCTCATTGGTGGTGGCGGCGGCAGTGGCAGCAGGACCAGGGGAACAGTGCTCCAACCATGCACATCGCTACATGTTTCTTGGGCTTAAAATAAATCATGGTGAAGCAGCTTTTTACAACCCAGAGGCAACTGGAGATGCTGGAGGCTGGTTAATCTGCTTAGTATGCTGGAACCTGGGGAGGTCTTTAAAGTGACAAAATTGACTTAGGATCTCTTTAAAGTGGCAAAGGGCTTAATAACATGAGTCGATAAGGTCAACCATGAAGTGCTCTCGGGCTGTACTGACTCGAGATGCAGGTTACTATTCATGAAGATTTCTTCCCTTACCTGCCAATTCAAGGTTTGCTGTCTTTTTAAAATTCTGTAGGTTTGCCTTTACTTGGCAGAAATTCTTGAGTCTTTTCTTGGGTATCCCCCTCAAACATTACAGTTGATCGGACCCACCGATTGCTCTTTTACTTAAACAAGTCCCAGGAGAGCACAAAGACCTCGAAGAATATGGATATGTGCAGTGTATGCTGGTTGAATTATAAACTGGAAAAGGTTTCCGTGGGATGTATTGTTTAATGAGCACACATTGTTATATTCTGAGTATGTGGCATTCTTGCTTAATAGAAACATTTACAAGGACACGTACACATTTATATCCAAACACCAAATGAAGTAGATATTTTAAATGACAAGTTTGCACAAGAAATAAAATATATTATACAAAACAGGGGTTTTATCCACGGTCATTAGTTCTCCTTTCCTACACAAAACAACAATAAATTAAATCACATTATATGCAGATAGTTGTACATTAGAATAATAAACTGTATGTAACTTGTGCAGTTTTTACTTTTACGTTTCTACCAGACTCATGATAGGTTTGTACTGTTTGGCAGTCCTGTATTTAAATGAACAATGAATAATGTGGCCAGAAGACAGAGGTCACAGAATTGATCTGTCACAGGGTCTATCCCAGGTTCTCTTGGTTTCAGTTATCAGCCATGCACAGGAAACAAAACTCAGATTCCCAGGACCCCTCACAAAGGTCTGCAATAAACAAACTCACAACAGTCGCATGCTATTGACAGGCTACTTCATCGCCATCTTAGAAGACACTGAAGATTTTCAGATCTTGGCATTAAACAATAAACAGGACACCCTGTTTCAAAACCTGAATTTGCCTCTTTTTTAGCCATCTTTGTCCAACTCTTACACACTGTGACAGCTTTGTTCTCCTAGCAAAGAAGAAATATTTTGGTGGTAGCCTATGTTGTGATTTACACTTGGTAAGTGGGCCCTTTATTCCCTGTGCATAGAAATGTAGGTCTTTAAACATGAATAAAGCAATGCAGCATTTTTGCTAACACGTAATTCTACTTGCTCAAATCTCTCCCCTACGAATCATCTTGCACCTGATACATCACAGAGCTATTATAAAATGGATTTTTACTCGCGAGACTTGGCTCCCATTGAAACCTCTTCGGTGCGTTTGAAGTAGCTTGAAACGTGACATTAACAGCATCAGCTGGTTTAGAATACTTTGCATTTGGTATGAATTAACATTAGTGGTTAATGAGAAATTTGAACAAGCTCCAATCCAGCACTTTTTGGAGGTTATTTAAATCCTGCAGTCTAGCTGTGGGGTACGCCTGCAAGAGACATTTATGGAATCAGCGTGCTGAACACCAAAGCCAGGCTTGTTGGAGTTTCTGCACATAGCAGGCTCGAACTTCCCCGAGAGCAGGTGTGGTCAAGTTAGCATAAGGGTTCTGATGAAAAGCCAGCTACATTCTTAGAACCAGCACTAGTTTGTCTTTCTTCCCCCGAGGAAGTATGGAGGCCTACTCCCAAATTTCTACCTGCATGGGCAAGATGCTGACGCATCCTTGGAGCAATGCTGGATGTGGATGTGGGGGGCAGAGGGGCAGTAAAGACAGTGGCAGTGGGCAAAGATACCCTCTTCTGTTTCTTTTAGAAGATCAAGCTTCTGATTCTCCTTGCTCAGTATGTCCCAAGCTCCTTGCTGAGTACTGTTGAAGGGGGACTAAATTATTGATTATTCTTCAGTTCTAGAGACAACTGAAAAAGAAGCAGGTCCCTCAGAACAGCATCATCTCATTCTCTCTGCTTTCACAATTGCCCCTAAAACATATCCTGTGTTTTTAGACAGTTTCAGTTTTTTCCACCGAATAAGAAATTCAGCTCGTTACCAGCTTCCTCGTGTAGCCCCAAACCATGGGTTATGATTAAATGAAACCCATGAAATGTACATAGGTCAAGGGGCCTAATTTGGGCTGGCATTTACCCTTGTGTCTGCATCCACTCAGGATCTGAGTGCTTTGTGTCCCAAGAAACACAGGTGCTTGTTCTTTCCAGTCTAAAACCACTCCCAGGGGCATAATACTCTATTTGGTCTCCCAAAGAGACTTCCACGAATAGCCATTGTATACTTGCTTACAAGAAGGTAAAAATGCCACTGGAACCTACTTTCTGAATCCATCACTATCTGCATGAGATCTATGCAATGGCCTTCATCTCATCGCTGACTGCGTATCATACACACAGGCACCCAAAATCCCCCATAACTAAAAGGAAAGTGGTGCATTTGGGGCAAAGAAGGCGCAGGTGCCTTGAGTAAATTAATGATTCTAAAAGCCTGTAAATAGGGAGAAGTGGGGGCATTCCAAGCAAACGTCTTTGAATTTAAGAGAAAGGAGAAAAGGAGGTGTTCTTATTCCATGCATTTCTCTCTTCCCTCCATTAAACACAGGCTCTGAAATGTAAAGAATTACAGTAGGGCCTGTGGAACCATGCCTGTGGTTCAGGAAAAGACAAGTTGATGGTTCTTCAGAGAAATGTGATGTTTTCAGGGGCTTCCTCATGAAACCTGTGGTCAGTCTTGGGAGAGAGATGGACTCTATACAGAAAATTCTTTCCAGATAGTTTTCTGGGGAATGCTTTCATTTCTGAGTCTCCCCCTACCTGGCACCCCTACCCAAAAATCTAAGAAGACGATGATGACCATAAGACAACATCAAAAAGTGTCTACACATGTTGACCTGTACAGTGTCAGCTGAAGTTTGGATGAGAAAATACATTTCGAAATCTGTATTTAAAGTATCACTTTTGAAATCTGAACACCCTAGATTTCAGGGTAAAAATGTATAAGATGACTTAAGAACTAAGACCCTATTTATTTTACTATGTGACAAAGGACTACCAGTAGAGTATAAATCACTAGTTGTCAAAGATGTGGCTTAGCAGTTAGGAACATAAATCCCCAAAACTAATCTTGAGATCTGAAACCAGGATAACCTTGGGCCAAGCACCTGCACTTTTAACCAATGTTTCCAACTTAATGGAATTTTCCAAACTTAACAGAGTTTTTGTAATTCATATGCCGATTTCAAGGAAGAAAAAGTAGATGACTGACATGTAAATAAGCAATCAATCTTAACATGAGAATTGATTTTACATTGGTATGGCATCCAGAAACCTCATGATTTGTTCTGCCATTTTTAGAATACTAAATTCTCACTTATCTTAGACTTTATCTAGAGCTATCATATTAAGTTTAGGACTATTCCTCTACCTGACGTTAAAATGGAATATATTTGTTCTAAAAATGTTAGCGTTAATGGACTTCTATATAAATTTTAAAAAGGTTAGATGTGGTTATACTCAAAGACTGCAACCAGGTAGATTATTTTTCCCCCTGTAATAAGCACACAGACTTGAAGTGTAAGTGTTTTTTTACAAGCACAAGAGAAAATGAATATCTCTAAAATATAAAGAAAACATCATTGAAAAGTAAAAATGAGAGAGAAACAAGCTCTCCAATTCAAGTAACTAAAGTGGATACAGTCCTTCCATGCTTTTTCACTCTGGGGAGTCCCAAGCTGTCCAGTGCTTTGCTTTCCTGGATTTTACTTCTCAAACTCTTCCTGCACTAGAATTTCTGGAGTTTGTGCTTCTTGCCCTCTTCTATCCTTTTTGGAATTCAACACTGTTCCCTTTGCATCCGGCATAGAGAACTACAACAGAGTTGTTTCACTTGCTTATACTTAATTTATCACACCCTCTCAGCTGCCTCCCAGCTCTCATTTTTTAAACAACAGAGGAGAAATGTGCCTCACAGAGAAATAATCTGTTAACTGTGACTCAAGTGGGAGCAACAGAAGCAGACTTCTCCAGGGAAGCACACACACATGGGCCAGCTCTAGGACAGGCAGCTTGCGCTTACCTTTGCCTCCACTGTTACTTGTGTGAACCACCTTCATCACCACCAAGGGATTGCTCAAACTCTCCTGTTTCCTGCATAGACATGGCCTTTAATAGATATTAAGATAATTTTTAAACTATTTTTCAGCTGCTCAAAATGTTATTGAGGAAAGATCCCAGTTATGTAATTCCAAGACAGTGCACTGACATGATAGCTTCCCCTTCCTCCCTCACGGTCTATCTTCTCCATAAAGTATAAGTGAAAGTGGTGACCTGCATTTAAACTCATGTGCAGACTACTGGGTGCAAAGCAGATACCCAGTAAAAACTTACTCAACTTTATCCAAATTCCTTATCTGCACACCTAACCCACTCTTACCGTTATTCATAGACGACTACAAAGTTCTGTGGCGTTAACTGAGAGGGAATAGAGTAGATATTTAGGTTCCCTCTGTTAACCAAAATCGTCACTGGGAATTTTGGCAAATGCCATGTGTAAAAGTTTTACATTTGTCATTTCGGTACTTGCTGTCAAGTTAACTCTCAACAAAGTTGTTCTTGAGAGAAAAGGGCTGCCTTCCTTTATAAAGATCTGTTTAATTCTAATAACTTTTCACTCTTGATCTTGAAACTCATCATTTGGCCAGAATTGGAAGGAGTGGCACCCTAAAATAACTTGCATTTAAAACAGTTAAACAGTAAAAATGCCAAAGACTTAAAATTTTGATGTATTCCTGGAAAGTTTGTCATCTGAATACATTTCCACATCTCTGTAATTAAAGCAGCAATTAGCATTTGGCTGTGGCCAAAGGAAAGAGGGAAACAGGGAGAAAAAGAGAAGTATTTTTCATCATCATTGGTTTGTTGTACGCTTGACCCATGCTTTTAAAATATAAGCAAAAGTTAATCTTCAAAATGAAAAAATAGACAAATTTTTCTAATACCAAAACATAAGATTAAAATACTTGTAAAATAAAATGTTAGTGTGAAATAGGATTTTTTTTACATCGAAAACATTTTAGACTTGCTTTTCATTTGTAAATCCTCCCACCTCTCACTAATATTTACAACTTTCCAGAGTAGCTTTTATGAGACACTGAAAAAGACAGGGAGGAAATCCTTTTTCAAGATATGAAGTCAGAACCTGAATGTAGACATTGGACAGAGAATTCTTCAACCATCTGTCCTCCAGCTCTAGGGAGAGTAAGGCAGTATTTCCAACCTTGAGATTTTTTCATTACATTTTCCCCTTATTGGGCGTTGAATTCTTTCCAAGAATGTTCTACTTGTAAAAATATTTTATTCTAGCTACAAAACATTTCATTTAAGTAAATCGTGTTTTATACCCTTGTGTGAAATGCTCCCAAAAGCCATCAAGATATGGAGACATCAGATTTTAAAAGCATAAACCTAATCATATGCCCTTGAAACAGTATGAACATTTAGCAGAGTGACACGATATCATGATTATATTTGTTTGTCATGAGATGAAAGGCCTGGAGGCAGATGGTGATTAATAATAGTTCCTGAGCTTCTAAAGAAATTTTAAAATGAAATGACTAACAGCTTAAAATAATGAATTCTTCAAGAACGCCCCTTCTATTTCATTGATTTCTTTCCTCCCCTCTATGTCCTTAAAGAATCTCAGGCAGAAAAAAAAGTGTCGGGGGAGGGGGAGCCTTCCCTTAAGCCACTGAAAAATGGGATCTGATGGAATCTTCCCGTAACTCCCGATGTTTTCCAAGATTACTTTCTTCTTGCTGGTTTCGCCTCTCAATGGTTATTCTGTATTTCTTCCTGGGTAAAGAAAAAGTGAATGTCGTAATAAAACTTGGCTACAAAATACCATGGTTTCTCTTACAAAGAGTGCCCTCAAGGGACATCTGGGTTTGAGTTGATAAATGAGAAGTGACAGAATATGAAACCCTGGTTAGAGATTAAAGTAGTGTGCCCCCAGGCGTGATGCCCTGATTCAAGAGAGAAAATTGGCATGCTTTCCCAAATACCACAGAACAAGCCTTCCCCTTCTTCCCTGGGTGCCTTGGGGGTTAAGTCTGTCTATTCGGCCACAAAAGTTCTCCCTGCCTCCCAGGATATGTCCTAGATAAAAATCAAACTACGTGTACTGTGACCAAAGGAACAGTAATACAATTGTTCCCACAAAGGGTCACATACGCCCAGTTACAATTTCATGTAGAAATAAAGAAACCTTGCTCTATCTAATAACTTATGAATAAACCACAAACTCAACCACCAAAGATTACAAAGGAATGGGCCACCCTCTCGGGGCAGAACAATCAGTACCTTGAACACGCGTACATTATTACAAATTTGCAAGCCTTGGGGCTTAACCACAGTGCTGAGTGAGAATGTGAGCTCTCCAAATACTGAGCACAGATCAGCCTGAGAGCACAGGCTCTGCAGAGCTCCCTCCTTGTCTTTAAGGTGGGCCCAGGCACCTATTTCCGAATTGGAGAAAGCCTGAGAAAGGGGAAGTTGATTTCCCTCCTTTATCCAGATTCCCTCCTCACTGCTTCACTTGGTGGGCGGTAGGAATTCTTGTGAGAATATCTGTGATCAAAGGATGGTGGCTCAGACCTATAATCCCAGCACTTTGGGACGCTAAGGCAGATGGATCACTTGAGGTCAAGAGTTCAAGACCAGCCTGGCCAACATGGTAAAACCCTGTCTCTACTAAAAATATAAAAAATTAGCCAGGCATGGTGGCCTGCACCCGTAGCCCCAGTTACTGATGAGGTTGAGGAAGGAGAATCGCTTGAGCCCAGGAGGATCGCTTGAGCCCAGGAGGTGAAATTGCAGTGAGCAGAGATCCTGCCACTGCACTCCAGCCCGGGCAAGACTGAGTGAGACTCCATCTCAAAAAAATAAAAATAAAAATCTGTGATCAAAGTACGGCAGCAGCTCTCTGTCCCACAGTGAGATGTAATCGAAACCGATGACCCGAGCACCCAGTATGTTAACCCACTGACTACCAAACCTGGGGTCACGCCAAAAGAATGGCTTAGATTTTTTAACCACCGTGCTTCTTGGGTAAAAGAAGAATGTGGACAAGTCACAAAGAGAATCATGCAAAAACAAATGACAAAGACAGTAGAGAAGAGTGAATTGTACCTTTACAAATGGTCCTCACCTGAAAAAGTAGAAGGCCATTAGCAAGCCAGCTCCTAGTAAGGCCCCCACAACAATTCCTGTCACTGCTGATTCTTCTAGGCCACCTGCTTGAAAAAGAAGCATAGATAACTAGGGTTCATTTTGAGATACAATTGGAAATGCCTCAAATTTCATTCATTGCAAGATGTTCCTCGATTTCCCACTGGAGGCAACTTTTCCTTTTTTTTCAGGAGTATTTTCTAAGGAACCCTACACTTAGCTTTTTTGGGGGGGGTTGTTGTTGTTGTTTTGGTTTGGTTTGGTTCGGTTTGATTTGCCTAGTGCAAAGCTTAAAAAGCATTTGAGAAAGTGCCAGAGAAACAAGCACACTATTAAGAGAGTGGACACAATGAGAACAGAAGCAAATTCAAGAATCAGAGGAAAACTAGAACAGAAGATTTCAGGTATAGCCACTCTCTTTTGAGCTTAAAGTCAAAGAATTGGGAGGCCAAAGTGGGTGGATCGTCTGAGGTCAGGAGTTCGAGACCAGCCGGCCAACATGGTGAAACCCCATCTCTACTAAAAATACAAAAATTAGCTGGATGTGGTGACAAGCACCTTTAATCCCAGCTACTCAGGAGGCTGAGGCAGGAGAATCACTCGAACCCAAGAGGTAGAGGTTGCAGTGAGCCAAAATCACGCCACTGCACTCCAGCCTGAGTGACATAGTGAGACTCCATCTCAAAAATAAAAAAATAAAGTCAAAGAAGACAACCAGCTGGACCAGGACACTGACCCAGGGCTTCTTATTTTCACAGATGGATGATGGCACTTCAAAATGCTAGAAGATTTGATGAAAAATTCATTGGGTCAATGTTCTGTTTTTAGATATTCTCTCACCAAAGCCAGAGTCTCATGTCAAAATGTGAAAATGTGGATAACAATTTGAAACAATCAAGTTCAGTAGTGTCCCAGTTATATAAATATGATAAATAGTTAACTTGTAACTAGAGTTTAGTATGAGGTTTTCAATGCATCATAGTGTGTAATCCTCAAAACAGCCTTATGCGTTGGGCACATTTCTTTCTCTTTACACTGGAAAACTGAGGGTTAAAATGCTGAAGGAACACTCCTAGGGTCACAAAGTCAGCAAGTGACAACAGTGGGATTTCAAATACAGGCTCAATCTCTCCAGAGTGTTCTTAACACACTTCCTCCTTCATTCCTTCCCATAATTACTGCATAGACATAAATGTCTAACAGTTTAAAAGATGCTTTCAGAAGCACACATATATTAGCCTGAAATGACCAACTGGCCTCCTGAAAGACCTGTATTCGCCTTGTTCTCCCTCATTACCTTATTCTCTGAAACAATGATTTCTAACAACTTTCCCATTTGTAAGCTACATATGAGAACATCCACTTGTTTCTCTACTTACATACAAAGCTGTTCATAACTAATACATTTTATCCTTATTTGCCAATGTGTACATGTTCAGATGTTTAAGGGGTGTTATCTCTTTGGTTCTAAGGAGCTGGAAAGTAACCACAAACTTGGAAAATCAGAACGAGACTTGTTATGAGAGAAGAATAAATGAATGACATTTACTAACTGATATTTTGATTTTCCCTAAAAGTGGAAACATGAACTAGCCAAGAGATTACAGTAAGAGATGTACAAATAGGGAGAAACATTCTCCCATTGTGGAAGAGAAGTCTGGAAGGGAATGAAAACCTGAAAGCCTCTGATAAGGGCAAAATACCAGTTCGTGAACTGTTCCCATGCATTTTACCACATCAGGGAAAGAAATGTGAACTTCCAAAATGTAAGCCCCCAGAAACACTTGGGTTTTAAACTTATATTACGCTGAGCTTAGAGGTGATGGCATGAATAGCAAATTAAGGCTCTGGACTTACATGATTTGCAGGGAGAGCTGTTTGTGTGCTCTACAATCCGGGTTTCATCTATTCTCAGTTTTAAGGGTCCCCAAGGATATTTGACATTCGGCCGCATTTCAAAACGACCTTCTTTTCCAAAGTAATCACCAATAACCTATATAGAAGCAAAAAACAAATATACCAACCGAACGGTCAAAGGAGGCACAAAGCTCACAGCCTTCCACAACTCCTCCCCAAAATGCACAGCCTGATCTAAACCAGCTGCCTCTGTGCCTGTCATCAAATCACTGTCTCCAGCGCAAGGACAGCAGGTGCTTCAGAAAATCGGGATACATTGGGCAGGTTCCTCTGTCTTCCACACTGATGGTCATGGTGTGTGTTCTGGGGACCTTGTAAGTCAACGTTTGAGTTTGCTAATGGTGCTTTCAAGAGGGCATGAAGAGTGGTCATGCCAGAGCAGAAGGATGTGGGAAGCAGGGAGAGTGGTGCCCCTGGGGCCTGCCCTCACTAAAAGCCCAGCCCTGCCAGAGATGCCCCTAGGGTTCTTCAGTCACTACCACCTAGTGGAAAGGGAGGATTTTTTTCCCCTAGGAAAACAACAGTCTCGGAATTCTTGGCTTTTGTTTTGTTCATCGGATAGGGAACCGCCCCACCCATCTGACCCAGAGCAGCCCACCGCCAGCCATTATTGTAAGGCCCAAGTTACTTTCACGGGCATGTGAAGGACAGCCAGGGTCCGCTGTGTACCAGAGTTAAGCATATGACAGGTACCCAGCCTCACGGCCCTCAATTGTTCAACATATAATTAAAGTGCGTCTTTCAGGAACCTCCTGTTTCACCACTTCCAGGGGGCAGACTATTCTTTCAAGAGTTGCACTTTCAGGCCTGTAATCCCAGCACTTTGGGAGGCGGGTGGATCATGAGGTCAGGAGATCAAGACCAGCCTGGCCAACATGGTGAAACCCTGTCTCTACTAAAAATATAAAAATTAGCAGGGCATGGTGGTGGGTGCCTATAATCCCAGCTACTCAGGAGGCTGAGGCAGGAGAATCACTTGAACCCAGGAGGCAGAGGTTGCACTGAGCTGAGATAGTGCCACTGCACTCCAGCCTGGGCGACAAAGTAAAACTCTGTCTCAAAAAAAAAAAAAAAAAGAGTTGCACTCTCCTCTCTGATGAATCCACCCTATTTGCACTCCAATTTCCAGGCCGAATTCTCTCTCTCTTAACTGACTCCTCTGACCCCTGGAAAATCGTTATTCTGTTGTGGTTTAATTCCATGGCCATCCCTCACTTTCTGGTTAAAATAATTGTTTGATCAGCTCCTCAACCCTGATCTAGAAGTGCCTTCCCACCCAGGTTCTCGGGAGTCATTTCTCTTTTGTCTGAAAACAAGCACATGGCTCCAAAGTGGCTGGTGACGTCTCTTCCCCCTCTCCTGGCCGAGGCCCAGCAGGTTCTAGCAGGCCATGTCAGGTCATAGTAAGAGGAAGTCTGGATCACCACCAAAATATAACCATCACTGGTGTATACTGGGCACTTGCCAAGGGCTTTATACACCTTCTCCCCTGCAACCTCACAATGGACTCTACGGAACTGTCTCAACCCACCTTTCCCAGGGGGGAACCAGGAATACAGATGAGACCCAGACCACTCAGTGAGCAAAAAAAAATCATTCATTAAACATAGTAAGGGTGAGTCCCGCTGCTTCAGCACTCCCCACAAGAGCCAGGCATCTATTAGGTTGATGCAAAGTAATTGAGGTTTTGGCCATTAAAAATAAATGATTAAAAATAGTGACAAAAAAGCCATAGTTACTTTTGCAACAACCTGATACACAGGAAAAACAAAGAGGAAAACAGCAAGTCCCATATGCCAGGTCCCATGAAGGGCACTGGAACGATGACCCTGGGAGCTGGCAATCAAGGAAACAGAGGAAGTGGCGTTCTTTGCTGAAGCACTGCACATCTGTATAATTTTATATGCATATTTATAATTTAAAATGTAGATAGTACTTTTCTAGGCTTCATTTGCTCTGAACAGAGGAAGTGGCATTCTTTGCTGAAGTACTGCATATTTGTATAATTTTATAGTATATTTATAATTTAAAATGTAGATAGTACTTTTCTGGGCTTCATTTGATCTGTTCCCATGACAATAATCATTATGATTTGTATGTTACAGCTAAGGAAACTGAAGCAGAGAGTTCACACTCCCAAGCACAGGAGGCTCATCTTTGTGTCCAGGGCACTCTTTTCTCTTCACGATGTTATCCTGAAGCTACATCATCTTTTGAAACATTAACACATGTTAAGTTTGTAACCACCCACGCTCCCACCCTTCCCCCAAAAAAGCTCAAATCTTAAGGGAGAGAATGCAGCTTCACTTTACTGATTTCACCCGATGACCCTCATGCATAAGACTAGGGTGTGATTCTTGGCCACTTGAAAGGTAGGATTTCCTCACTTACAATAAACATGGAACCATCTCCTGAAGTCTTCCTTGATACCCTCAACTAAAAGTTAAGGTTTTTCAACTCATTTTTATTTGGAAGCTGCATGGAGACAGCTCTGTGGCCATGAGAACAAATGCATTCCTCAGAGTACCCACGAGCAGAAAGAGCAACTGGAGAGGAGGTCTCGCGTGCTCACCTCCTGGGTGCCCGCCTCCACGTCAGTCATGGCGATCACAGAGAAATCCCCGTATCGGTCTCCGTTGGCATCTATGGACACCTGCCCGGCGATACCTACAGGACCAGAAGTGAAGAACTCAATGTTGGTTACTTAAAATACCTCTGTCTGCCAACAAAAACAAGAGAATGAATGGAAAGGATTTTTTAAACAAACTCATGCCACAGGGAATCTCATCAGACTCTGAGCATTTTTGTTGGCATTTTGGAAAGACATTGTAATTTCATCTGCGTCTGCATTCCTAAATTCTTAACATTTCTCCATTTAAAAATGAAAAGAAAAAGAAATAAATGATCTTCTTTGGGGTTATGTTTGAAAAAAGATTAAGGCTAATCCTGGAAGCAGCATGCTTATCCCAGAGTTTTGTATTAATTTTTTTTAATTGCAGAGTTAGAAGTGAAGGTGGGGCACATTTATAGATTTGTCATGGGTTTGCATTATCGTTGGATGAATATTATAAAAGAAAAATCATTCCAGGCCTAGGACTCAGGGAATGTGCTTTTCTCCAGGCTGCTTTAATACACAGGAGAGCAACAGGCCTGCTTCGTGGGTCACCGGGGCCAATACCTAAGAAGAGCCATTCTTCTTTTTCCCAGTTGAGCTCTTCACTGATTGTTTATCCAAACGTTCTCTGGACGCTTAGTGCCGAATTAGTGCTGCAGCTGAAGCAAAGATGAATCGAACACATTCTCTGCTCAAGAAAGGGGCAGCCTGGACTGGGAATTTAGCTTGTTCACACCAGAATCTAACCACTTGCATTCAAATCCCAGATTTTACATCTACATAGCTCCATGACCTTGGACAAGGTACTTAGCCCTCTAGGCCTCAGTCTCCACAACTGTAAAATGAGCATAATAGTACCTCCCTACCAAGAGGCCACACAGATTAAATGAGATAAAACAAATACAGCACTTTCAACACTTTTAAGAGAAGTTAATTGTTTTCATCTACTGTTGTTATTACAATCACTATTATTACTACAATTTATTTTATAATTACTCTTGGTAAAGAACACCTGACCATGCCCACATCACTCAGAGGAGTAGCCAGAACATCAATTTGGAGAATCAGGGAGGATTCAGTGAAAGAGCAGGAATTTTATAGGGATGTTGGAGGAAGTCTAAGACTGGGCAAGCAGTAATCAAGAAATGAAAGAGAGGCTGAAAGCCCGTCCTAGGTGTATCTACCAAGGCACAGAGGCCCAAAGAGACCAGAGGAATTGTGAGATTTCTGGGAAGATGGTCCATCAGGATAAAGGGAGTCAGTGATACAGAAGGCCAGAACGCGGTGGCCTGTCTATATCAGCCTGCGCAGTGGCTCATGCCTGTAATCCCAGCACTTTGGAAGGCCGAGGAGGGCAGATCATGAGGTCAGGAGATCGAGACTACCCTGGCCAACATGGTGAAACCCCACCTCTACTAAAGATACAAAACATTAGCTGGAGATGGTGGTGTGCACCTGTAATCCCACCTACTTGGGAGGCTGAGGCAGGAGAATCACTTGAATCAGAGAGGTGGAGGTTGCAGTGAGCTGAGATCACGCCACTGCACACCAGCCTAGGCAACAGGGTGAGACTCCATCTCAAGAAAAAATATATATATGTCTATATCATAATTTTCTTTCACTAAATAAGAGAATGCATACATCAGTCCCATTCTAATTAACTAAAGCTATTTCCTTTTCAACAGGGGAGAGTTCAGTGTAATTTTTAATTGGCCTTTCTATTGATTTGGTTCTCTCTGGAAGTACTGACTCTTCAAGTAAAATGAATGTCTGGGAAAAAGGATCCCAAGGGAAAGTTCCATCCTCCAGTGTGGCTTGGAGAGGGCAGGTATTTGGGTTTACTGTCCTTTGGGTTGTGGTTTGAAGGCCCACTGATTTTTCCAGACTTTGGTTTACTTTGCCGGAAACAGAATGGAAGTTACCATTGACTTTGATTTTTTTGTCTTCTTAATATAGACTGGTTACAAAGGGTCACCGATCATAAACTTGTGCATCCTTGACAGCCTATAAAACTCTTAAGTGATAAATACATTAAAAAAAAAAAAAACTTATTGACCATCCACAACCATATGTCATTCTGTTGAGAGTTGTTTGTGATGTTGTGTCCTGCTAAGTATTTTGCAGAGTATTTTATAAGATGAGATGGTCCTCGTAATTTACGACCTCATTATACCTTTAAGCTATTGCAATTCTGCCAAGAAATGGGGTGAGAATCCTCAGCGTGGCCAATTAGCATAGTGAGACTTCACCTAAGAGTATCATACATACGGTGAGATTGTCAGTCTTACAGCAGAATTTTCCTGCACATAAGTAATGAGACTTTCCACTCTCATTTCTATTTGCCTGTAGTGGGGCTCAAAGTTTAAGCCACAGTCCTATTTACCTTGTCACTCTGACCTCTCACACAGAGGAAATCCAGTCTCTTCGCAGGCCATTTATTGAAATGAGAGTTGATCACAGGTTTCATGGCAATAAAAGCCAAATTTGTCAAATCACAGCCAGAGTATTTTTCCCCTTGACAACTTAATGGTCACTTAAAGGTGACTATTAAAGTTAAAATTGTTTTTAATTTTAGGAAGGTTTGGGTTTTTCTTCATACAGATACCTTAGAGTTCCTTTTAGGCCTACAATCCAATGGACCACTGTTTAGCAAATAAAATGGGCTCTCTAAGCAATTCAAGCCGAAAACTTACTTTAGTCTCAATTATCTTTACATTCGAACAGATGAGATTCTAATTGTAGACTGAACTACACAGTTGATTGGTTCAGGACGAAACTGATCCCTTATACTGATATCCCTAATTCTCTTTATTGCACGTGTAGACCTGGCCATAGAATAGGGACATTAAGATGGCCTATGGGAAAACTAAGCCCAGGCCCTGGCTCTAACTAAAATACATTCCAGCCATCATGGCCATCTACCCTTCCCTTAACGACCTCCCTCAGTGGCGCCCTCCAGCATCCCCCACCTCTGGCTCCTGTCCCTCTGTCAGAAGACCAAGAACAAATGACCACACCATGGAGTGAGTAATAGCTAAGAATGGGATGTGGCCGACCGAGGTTGTGTCCACAGATGCCATGTTCTCAGTGTATTGTGCAAAACTTCTGGGAAATTTGGCTTTGTCCTAATATGACCCCTGAATTTTCCTGTTGGATTCCAGCTCCTCAACTGAAGCAGTCAGAAGTAAAGCGAGATAGTCCTGGAGGCCTACTCACCCATGGACTACAATCTGGCTAACGCTAAGGAAGGTGTCACTCTGGTTTTGAGTAAGACATGGCATCCACTAAAACCACCAGAGAGAAATGAAATCCAATTGCCCAAGGTAGCCATTGCCCAGACAACTCCAGCAGGAGCTCAACCTCTCCCTACTGCCTGTCCTGCCCTCTCTAAGAACTGAGGACAACCTGAGGGAGTGGAGGCCCAGGAGTCCCATCTGAAAAAACACATGCCCCAAATCTAAACTTGGCAGTACTTGCTCCCGCCATTGAAAAACGTCACTAGTTGGATTACAAATAGATACAGGCATACCCCAATGCATGAAAGGGCGCAAAGGAAGAGCGAGCATGATGTAAAACGGAAAGAGCTCTTGTTAGTCATTAACTGGCCTAACCTCCTCATCATACAGGTAAAGAAAGAGAAGCTCAGAGGACAAGGTTACTAGTTAGTGGGGGATGCAGGTTTTTCTGAACCCCAGTTCAGCAATTTTTACTGTTACCACTTCTCAAGTGATACCCATAAGCATATATAGTTTATTTTCCACAGAGCAGCCATAAGAACCCCTTTTAAACATAGAAGGCAGATCATGTCACTCAAAAGCCTCAGGTGACTTTCTGTCTCACTCAGGTAGAGCCCAAAGACGTCAGCGAGGCTCCCAGGTCTGCATGATCTGGCCCCATTACCTCTTGGGCTTTGGCAACGATCACGCTGCCTCTCACACGTGGTGTCCACGCTGGCCATGTTGCTCTATCGGGACACTCCACAGTCTCCCAGATGCACTCATCTTCATGTTTGCCACTCCCTCTGGAATTCTCTCTCCTAAACATCTACAGAGCTTCCCCCTCACTTCCCTTGGGTCTCTTCTCAACTTTGTTCTCACAGAGACCTTCCCCGACCACTCGAAACTAGCAGTCCCACTCCTCCTTGCTGGCACTTTCCAGCTCCCTATCCTACCTTATTTTATAGCCCTGAAAGGTGTACTGTATTCATTGTTTGTTGCTTTTCCCCCTCACTAGCATGTAAGCTCAAATGATTGCATGAAATGTCTTTAGTTCACTGCTGAATCCTCAGCACCTTGAACAGCACCTGGCATATAGTAGGTGCTCAATGAACATTGTTGAATGAATAAATGAATATGAAGTTGATATCTGTGTTATCCCTGCTTTACAGCTGAGAAAAGCAAGATGTTGGAAAGGCCCCACAGCTGCAACAGAAAAAAACAGAACCAGAAAAGAAGCAGCTCAATTGGCCCCATGTCATTGCCTTATAGATGGAATCCCCACCTTCAAAAGTTCTGTTCCATGTCTGCTGGATAATTTTCCCTCCATCCTTCTTGCTGTAACCAGCTCTGAGTACTTCATGTAGAGCCAAGACATAGAGGAGGATGGCATCGTGGAATCCTTCAACAAACATGTTAACCTGTAAAGAAAACCACAGATGGGTGAGCCAAAGCACCACATGACTCATGTCAGAAATAAGATGAGCAATCCAAAGGATTAACGAGTTATACTTGAAGTCTGTTAGCCTTGGCACAGGTGGGCAGAGGGGGCACTAACAAGAATCATGCCATGAATTTCCTGGCATGGCTCAGGGGAGAAACCCTTCCTCAGTTGGGGAATTTGGAGAGCCTATTTCATAAGTCAAGAAAACTGTACCCATTGGCCAGGTCAAGTATTTCAAGTGTGCCCACCTTTGCCAATGGTCCCATTTGGACAAGTCCCCTCCTCCTTCCCTACATCTGCCTCTATCTCAAGCTTATATGAGTTCAGCCTCCCCCTTGAAGTCTACCCCACCTTTAACAGCCCCACAATCTCTCCATTCTCTGAATGTGGAGCATAACTAAGAAACAGTAGGGATCCATTCGCTTATATTTAGCAACTGTTGATACCTACCAGAGTGCTGATGCTTTGGGTGCAAAGAAGAGTGGACGCTGTAACTTCTGCCTGCCTGCCTAGCATTTGTGTGCTGTCTAACATTAGTAATAATGTCTCAGTCTCTCTTTCCAATTTGTGTTTTGGGTACATCTAACCGCTCCCCATCCCTATCTAAGGACAGGAGTGGAAAATAGGCTTGGACTATTGGGTTATCCCACTTGAGCCCTGACTCAAATAATACAGCCCTTGCCCTCAGAAAACCTAAAGTTTTATAATGTAAACACTGGTCATGTGGACTTAGGGAAGTCACTTCATCTCTTTGAGCTTTGCTCTTATCATCTGTATATTGACCATGAGACTAGTACCTTATTTTAAGAGGTAGTTGCAAGAATGCTGTTAAATAAAATGCTTGGTATTATCATGCCTGGCACACATCAAATTCTCAACAAATAGAAGCGAAGGCTATCATGATATTTCATAAGCTCTAAAGTATTGGAGTCTCTGCTGTGCTCGTGGTCTGTTCAGAATATAGTATAAATACCAGAAAGGGAGTGGTCCATCTGACGGGCTGGAGAACAGCAAGAGAGGCTTAAAAGCAGTGACAAAAGCTGAACTGAGTTTTGAAGATGAAGAGATGTTTCTCAGGTGCAGGCAAAGACACAGTCAGGGCACATTTTCACAGCCTGATATATTTGGGGAACTGTAAATGTTTTACTAGGATGGGAGCAGGAGAAATAGGGTCACACCAAGAGACAGGGATGGAGAGGTAAGGAGAGTCAGATCATCGAGAATCCAGAGACCACGCTGAGGAACTTGGACTGTCTTCAGCAGGCACCCAATCACGTTAGTTCACCCCTTACCTACATTAACAGCAGACTTTGGTAAATTCCAGTACCACATTTAAACCCATTATAACATTCATTGGATATGAAATGAGCAAATACAATCTTGAAACACCAAAAGGCTTACAAACAAACTCTATACAAAAAGTACAAAAAATCCAAGACTTCTTATATCAGAAAAAAGTGTCAATAATGAAATGCCAATGATGCAGAATGAACTGGGCATTCTGTAGATGACCACCTGACACGGCTTAGTGGGGAAAACCCACTAACTGCTGCATCTCTAGAAGGAAGCCTTGTGGGAAGAGAGGCGCAACTGACCTTCTGCATCACCTGATTCAGAGGCACAGACATTCACAACAGACAGAGCTCAGCTACTGGATCTACTTGACCTTATCCCACCCCTAGGATGGGGAGTCCTGTTTGCATCACAGAAGCAGGTATTTCAGGTTTGCCAAAACCTAGTGCTGAGAAGCAGTCTAAAATAATGGTTAAAAATCCTGGGCCACCTTTCCAGCTCTGCCACTTCTAGTTGTGTTCTGGTTTCCTCATCTGGAAAATGAGAAAAATAACAGTACCTATCTTATGGGGATGTCATTAGGTTGAAACACATTAATAAATGTAAAAGACTTCAAATAGTGTCTGGCAGAGTCAGCATTCACTGTCGGCTTTCGAAACTAAGCAGGATCTCTAAGGTCTAGAGATAGAGAATTATTCACTTAGAGATCCTGCTCAGTTCCAAATTCTTACCGGCAGTATTCAAAAAACAAGTGGTTTTCTTACAGGTATCACATATGTTATTGGTCCCTTTTACACTCGGTGGGAGAGAAGGCTACTGTTCATGCTGTTTGTACCCTAGACAGTTCTCTTTCTTCCACAACACCAAGCTCTTTATTCCACTCTAGTATGGCAGGTGCAGTTCAAGTGGTCATCTGCTGACCCTCTGCAAGAGGCGGAGGGTGGTGGGAAGGGGAGCTGGTTTGCAAGAGAGCTTGGAGTTAGCTGGCTGGACACACAGTCCAGTCCTAGCCCTGACAGGCTACTTAATCTCTCTAATCTTCAGTTTCCTCATCTGTTAAGTGGGGGTTTAGTACCATCAGAGAGCTCTTCTGAGGATTAAATGAACTAGTGCATGTAAAACACCGAAAATAGTTCCTGGGACCATAGAAGCAACTGATAGATTCTGGCTCTTACTCTTAGCTGTTGAGCTTAAATGTCAGGGTGATTATTTCTTCAGTCAAAGAAAAATAAAGTAGAAATAACATCTACTAGTTAAAGAGTTTTCTGCTCATTTAGCTATGCCACTTTGATTTTCCAGAGGAATATGCAATTTCCACTTAGGCCATGAAGTCGTTATGGCTTGAGAAAGTCTACATGCTGATGAATTCTAATAAGCAAACTTTAGCGGTGTAATTTCATTCTCAGGCCACAGTTCTTTTAAAGTTTAAGGTCTATCTTCTCTTTGATAATTTTATAGCAGCCGGCCTGCTACAGGGGGAAGTCAGAGAATCACAGATTCATGGCCTGTGGGTGATGCCAGGTGCCCTCGAAAAGCTCTGATCAAATCCCCTTCTTACTCTGAAGATTGAAAGAGCATTCATTGCTCTCCTCAGTCTTCCTGCATTCTGCACTTCTTGTACAAAGGTTGTGCCCTGCAAGCTCCTTGTTCCTGGGGTTCTCAAGACAGGCCTTGCTTAAATTCTGAAGCACCAGCCACTGGGCATCACCCATCCACTTCTCATCCTACTCCTTCCGTTCCCTCCTCGAAATTCTAACCCAGGACCAAAGGGTTGATGTTGATCGCCAAAGGACTGACTATGCGCCCAGCACCACATCCTGTCTAGCCCTTCCCCTTCCTTCCTCCTTGACATGCCATCTGAGCTGCCCCCTCTACAATCCAGGATAGGAAGAAAGATTACGTGGTGGAGAACAATGAACTTGAGTTACTTTTGTCCTTACAGGTTTGATAGTAGAAGAAAATAGACAGGCCCTGAATACGTGCCCAGGTCTGAAAACGCATTCTAGCTTCATTTGCAGATGGATCGCAAAATTTACCTTCTTTCTTCTCAGGGTGGCTGAGTGTCTCCCTCTCCTGCCAAAATTAGCAGGAGAGCTGCTGACCCCACTGAGGTTTGCTGGCACCCACCCACTGCGGGGGAGGTTTCATAACACCTACCTCATAGGACCTCAAGCCAGAAGCAAAGCCCAAAAGACTGGTTTTTCTCAAGAAGAACATTCGCATTCTACACGTGATTCTTAGTGGGAGGAAAGCCCATTAACATGTTGTAGACAATGAAAATTAAATGTGCAAATTAAGAAAATATAAGAGAGGGAAAAAAAGTATGAAGTTGCCTTAGGAACACTTTCTATGGAACCTCCAGGCTGAAAGGAGCAAGATCAGCTGATGTGTCCCCTGCCTGTGGACAGAACAACACTTGAACCTCAACGTCCAAGTCCTGACTAACACAGGTCATGCTGTCATTACCTACACAGGTAACAGGTGGGATTCCCACAAGGAGCATCCTGTTCTAGTAATTAGCATCGTTTATTGCCAGGAAGTTTTCCTTACCGTCATCAGCCCTAAGTCCTAATTAAATTCCTACATGCAGCCATTTCCTCTACTAGATGCTCCGAAAACTGGGAGAAGAGAACAATGCAGTTTCCAATCTCCACCAAACAGCACCTCTGTTACCTATGAACACACCGATGGGCTCTGCGCATGCGAGTTGCAAAGTTGTGACATGGGCCTCGCTGGGAGCCAAGCTCCGGGGTAATCATTATTGGTGCCGTTTATCAAACAAAGTAGACTTCCAACGAGATGAAAAGCATTCACCATTTTCCACTCATTCTTGCCAGAACAAGGTAGCATGACAAGAGGGCATTAACTTTCTTTCATTTCTACTTCCTTTTTTTTGAAACAGAGTCTCACTTTGTCACCCAGGCTGGAGTGCAGTGATGCAATCTCAGCTCACTGCAGCCTTGGCCTCCCCTGTTCAAGTGATCCTCCTGCTTCAGCCCCCAAAAGTAGCTGGGATTACAGGCATGCACCAGCAAATCTGGTTAATTTTTGTATTTTTTGTAGAGACGTGGTTTCGCCATGTTGCCCAGGCTGGCCTCAAACTGAAGCTCAAGTGATCCGCACACCTCAGCCTCCCCAAGTGCTGAGATTACAGGCATGAGCCACTGTGCCAGGCCTATCATCTCCATTCTCTTGATTCTGTCCTCTGCAGCTGGTCAGAATGGAAGAACACTGTTTTTGCCCCGGCCTTCCTGTCTGAAAGCACCCGCCAGCCACATCTATTTATTAGTGATTTTTTTAGATCCTCTATCATGAGGACAGCTGAATAGAAATCATGTTGTTGCTGCTTTTATTTTCTAACTGATCATAAAGGGTCGCTGCTCATGGCCTGGCTCCCAACTGTGGCAGCAAGCCATGGTGCTCTCACTTCTCTCTGAAGACACAAATTCATAGTGAGATCAATTCCTCAGTGCCTGTGCTCCAAACAAGTCAGTGTAGAATGCTGCGGGCCTCAGCTGTTCTGTAAAGTGAGAGTGATCCAGCTCTCGCAGATGCCTGGATATCTGAGAAAGCCTGTCGAGCTCTCAGATAGAGGCTGCTGGAAGAAAATCACCACGTTCAAAGCTCAGCGAGGCTATCCTGGCACTTTGCCTGTGGTGTTCACAGGAACTCAAGCATAGCACA